AGATGGTGAAGGGTGGGTGAGGACTCTGAGGGGGCTGAGGCCGGGTGGAGACAGCCGCAGTGGTGTGAGGAGCAAGGGTCGGGGAGGACCCTGGCTGACGGCTCCCTCAGGCTCAGGGAAGAACAGAGGCAGGCTGGTCTGAGGAGGCCAGGCCACGCTGAGCAAGGGGACTCCCTGGAGTGCCCCTTTGCGGGGGCTGAGACTTCTGAAAGACACACGTCCCCGTGTGGAGGCTGGACAGGGTGTCTGGAGGCCCAGGCGGGCAGCCTGCGTGGGGGTTGGCTGACTGGGGGGCGCAGCCTCCCAAGATGGGCCCCGTGCAGCGAGTCAGAGAAAAGTGGGGTATCTGAGTGCCACCTCCCACGGCAGCCCTTCAGGGCATGAGCCACGCTTTTTGCTGGGGACCTGGGGGCACAGACAGCTGGGATTTCTGCAGGCAGGAGTTGCTGCGAGTTCGAGCCACTCCAACCTGCAGTAGATACGCCTCTCCTATCTGCGGGGTGCCTGTACCAAGATCCCCAACAGATGAAGGCCTGAAACCTTAGCTAGTATCAAGCCCTATGTATAGCTACGTGTCCTTCTATAGCCCTAACTATGAGAAAGTTTCATTTATAAATCAGGCACGGTAAGATTAATTATAAGTACCGAGGGGCAGATTCGGGTGCAGGCCGAGGTATGGGGGCGAAAGAATTCACCAGAAACAGTGGAGTAGGGAAGAGGCGGATGTGCTGAGAGACAGGCTGAGGGAGAAGTCTCCCGAGGTCCTGTTTATGTCCGTGGACTCTTGGGGGGCTCCTCTCAGCCCTCGGAGTCATCAGATCAAGGGTCATCAGCTCAGTGGCCCAACTTCTCCTGAGAGTCCCGTCCACTCCCTTTTTCCCTCTGGACCTCCCAACACTGCCTGCCTGGGTGGTGGCCGGTTGTTAAATTTAGCCAGCTGCCACAATAACTAAACCAAGAGAACACTTACAACAGTGTGTTTTCATAAAAGCGAATGTGGCCTCTCTCAGAATATCTTACTGTATGTAACATTTTGGGAGCAAAATATTATACTCATGTGGACCCAGTAAATGAAGTTCCAGAAAGCCAAACCCAGCATAAGGGGGGCCTGCTGAGTGCTCCCCACATGAGTCCTGCCCCTGGGGAGAGCACAGAGCAGGCGGGGTGCTCAGCTCCACAGCCTGGGGCTTCCGGTGGGGGCTTAACTGAGACCTTGTTGGGTCACCAGCGCAAGACACGTGGGGGTTCCTTCTGGGCAAAGGGCGGGGGGCAGCGTGGCCCACTTGCTCTCACCGAGTGGACGTCGCTGTCTCCATTAGCAAGCACCCGCGTCTTTGAGCGGGAACTGCCGGCTGGGACGCCAGGTTCGGGCCGGCCGCCCTGTCCTGGAGAGCCGCTCCGGAGCGCAGGCTGCTCCTCGGGAGTGCCTGGCGTTGAGCGCTGACCACGCACGATGCTCTGGGTGGCCGCTCGCCACCCGTGCCCTGGGCCTTCCCACTCACCAGTCAGAGGGCCTTATACCCCGGCCTCCAGCAGCCCACTTTGGGCAGCTGTGGCTCAGGGCCACCCTGAAAGGCAGTGGGATTCCCAACACAGCTGGGAAGTGCATCTCAGTGAGGTGATTTTCCTGCCACTGTCAGCAGGCAGACTGAAGGGTGCCCCCGGGTCCCCCAAATTTGCATGCTTTCAATGGGTTCTGTCATCCTCTGTGTAAAGACAAAGCATACTCTTTTTGTTTTTTAAAGTTTATTTGTGCATACAGAACTGTTTGTGCAGGCCAGAGGTGCAGGGGCGGTGAGAGGCTTCCCCAGAGACAGGGTGGGGAGCAGAACAGGCCGACTGACGAAGTGCACTGCTGAGGGGAGCAGCGGGCGGGTCGGGGAGGTCTGCCGTGTCCTGCGGTTCTCCTCCGGGGCAGGCAGGGATCGAACCCATGCGGAAGCGGCTTTAGCTTCTCAGTGCTGTGCTGTAACCCGCTGCGCCCCCAGGGAGGGCCCGACAGAGCATACTCTTACTGTGAAAGGACCTGAACAGAATAATGTGCATGAGGAGAGAAGGAGGGGTAAAGGTTTCCCAGTAAGACACCTGACATTACCCCTCCCTCGTGGCAAAGGCCCAGCCTAACAGGGTCAGCCTGAAGCAGGGCCGCTGAGGCCTAAAAGGTTGCCAGTCTAAGTCACCTTCGGATGGGGACCCCGAGAAAGGGGTAAAGGGGCCAGGCTGGTCTGGCACATACGGAGCAAAATCCAAGTACGCATCTAGGTCATGGCTGCTGCTGTCAGCCTGCCCCGAGCCTCTCACACGTCTCCTCCGTGTCCCCCAAGTTCCCGGACCCAGTCCAAAGCTGAGACGCAAGCTGGCCTGCTTCGCTTACCTTTCTGCCTGTCTTCTTCAGCGTGGCCTCCCTGCTCAGCTCCTTCCCAAGGTGGCGCAGGGGGCCTGCACCCCCTTTCTGGAGCTCCTCTGTACCAGGCCCCCACGGCACACTGCTGGGTTAAATCGCCACTGCTGATACTCTGAAAATCTGCAGCCCAGAGCTGACACTGGGAGAGCTGTTAACGAGTCACTACTCGGATCGCACCATATTTAAGGGGATTTAAAAAAAAATACACTAGTTTATTTTGCATCATTTTGTGCCTTTTCCCATCTCACTTGCAGTCCCCGTGGGTTTCCCACCACCACTTCACCCGTGGGCCTTCACCGTGGCCCGTGCACATCTTCCCCCCTCCCCATTGTTGACCCCATTCCCCACTCTTCCCCCGTAAAATATCTCTGGTATATAGTTGTTCATTATTTTTATCCCTTAAGGGGATTTTTAAAAATAAGTCAAAGAAAAAACACAGACCCGACTGGGTTGTCCATATTCGCCGGTGATAACTTGCTTTTGCTCATCCAGGAATAGCACAGGAGTCATGGGGGGCAGCTGGGGTCACCCCACATTTGGATAAATGCCGTGCAGATGGGAAACCTGCTCCTGCCGGGGAGCAGAGCCCTGGCTCGCCCGGCCCAGCCCGCGGCCCGGAGGCCTCGGCGCTGCCAGGGCTCATTCCCCCTCATCGGGAGGCCGCCGTCAATCTCCAATTAGCGGGGCTGCCAGGCGGGGCAGGCTCCAGACGCCGTCCTTGCTGGAGACGGCGCTCAAGAGGGACAGGGTCAAATGAGGTTACGAGGCCACCAGGCTTTGGCTGGGCTGTTGGCTCACCTCTGGCAGGACGGTGCTTCTTTGGGGTGAACTCTGCCTGACGTGTACCCCCGACCTGGGCCCCGGCTGTCTAACTTCGGGGGCAAGCAGGTGCCGAGGTGAGAACCTCAGCTCAGTTTTCTTATGTTCAACTCAATAGTGGGGAGCAGCATGGCCCCCCTCACCCCCCCCCCACTACTTGTCAGGGCTTAGCAAAGAGCTAGGGAAGATTTTCCAAGTAGACTCAAAACAAGCTACTGAAACAATGAAATAAAGTGTTTCCACAGAAATAATAGCTGGGTGGCTGCAGGTGGCTGGCATCGGAGTGCAGCAGACAGGACAGAGAGTGCTAGCTGAGCTTGGCTCTTCTTTCAGGGGATTTGGGGGTCCAGGGGTTTTGGGGCTCGGTGTGCAGTGCCTGGGAGGCCCTCTCCCCCCCACCCCCGGCCCCACTGTCTAATGGCTCCCGGCTCTGCCCTCCCTGGGCAGTTTGTCCTGCCGGACACCCAGCCACGAGGTGCCCTGACCAGCCCTGTGTGCGTGAGTGCGGGTTCCCAGACCCGGCTGTTTGTGGAGGTGTGAAGAGACGGAAGGGCTCTCCCCATCCCGCCTTGCGTCTTGCACTTTTCTCTATTAAAATTTTAAAAATGCCTCATTCGGTATTCTGACTAGACAGCTTATCTCGAGGTTCAAAACTAAAACGTCCATTAAGAAGAAAGCGGGACAGTCTACTTTACATCACCATCTGCGTCTCCTCGTCCGCTGTATCTTTGGGTTTACCCTGTTCTAGTATGTGCTTCTTCCTGCACACGCAAGCCAGCGAGAAACGTTTTCTCATCCTTTATTTGAACGTACCTACTGCTCTGTACTTTGCCTTTTCTACCTGACCACAAATCGTGGATACCTTTACCGGTGCAAAGGATATGCTCATGTTTTTTTTCAAGATTTATTTGTGTATGCAGACAGAACCGGGTACAGGCCAGAGGTGTGTGTGTGGTGGGGGGAGGAGCAGTGAGAGGCTTCCCCGAGACAGAGTGGGGAGCAGAACAGGCAGTTGGACAAGTGCTCTGCTGAGGGGAGCGGCGGGCGGTCAGGAGGGGTCTGCCCACCCCACCCTGGGATCCCTCCCTGGCTGGGAGTGAGCTCCTGCTGCAGGGGCTGCAGACGGCTTCATAGTGCTGCGCTCTAGCCCATGGCGCCCCGGGGAGGGCCCCCCATTAGCGTATTTTAGGGGCATCTTTTGTGATGTTATGATTTCATGTGTCAAAGAAAAGTTGAAACTGTCGTATCTGGGAGCGTGAGGTAGGAACAAAGCCCCGGAGACTGAGATGAGACTCTGGTGACCTTGGGCTGGCTTTGACCCCCTTTTTACAATACCCTCACCCCTGCTTCTGCCCGCTGCCTCCTCTCCACTCTACAACCCCAGCCCCTGCTCTCTGCGTCTTCCCACATGGGGAACTGCTCTTCCGGTCACAGGGTCAAGCTGTCCCGAGTCAAACTTCCATCTCACCCTAGTACCAGCCTCATCTCACCTTCTTCTTGTTTCTTTTTCTTGGATCTGGAGAGACGTTCTGAATGGCTGGCAATGTGGTTTACTAGTTAATAAACCAGGGATTTGGCGAGAGGGCCTGAGTTCCTGCTTGGGTCCGGAGTCCAGTCAAATATCGTCAAAGAGCTGAGCTTACCAGTCTCTGCCCCAGGACACCACATGCGCACGTCGCTTCAGATCGCCCTTAAGTGTTGGGATGTTCCAGCCAGGGTGCCCGTGGCTCAAGGAATAAAAACACATGTCAAGTCAGACAGTCAGGACAGCCACCACCTTGTGCACCCGAGTCCTGGGGGACCTGGTGTCAGGGTGGACAGTCCCCAGAGCCCGGGTGCCGTTTCTCTGCTCTCTCTCCCAGCCTCCGTTGGGTGCTGGCTCTTCTCCAGGCTGCTGCAAGCCCAGACGCAGACTCTGAGTCAGAAAGGCACGAGTGCTCATGGGAAAAGAGAGGCCAGCGTCCCCGAGCCCTGTGCTCAGTGACCTCAGTGAGATCACACGCCCTGTCTGGGACCAGCCACTTCAAAGGAGAGAGTATCCCAGGCTGGTCAGACCTCAGCCTGGAGCTGAGGTAGTTTAACTTCCCTTGAAGCCCACAGGCCGCGTGGGTGTGTGATACCTGAACTAAATTGGGGTTCTGCCAGGAGAGAGGGGAAGGGGTGGCAGGCAGACAGCCGACCATGTCCCCAGCCAGGGAGGGACCCCAGGGCGCGGCAGACCTCTCCTGTCTCCCCGCTGCTCCCCTCTGCAGTGCGCTTCATCGACCTGCCTGTTCTGCTCCCCGCTTTGTCTCTGGGGAGTCCTCTCACTCCTCCACACTTCTGGCCTGTACCCCAGTTCTGTGTGCACAAATAAATAAATCTTTAAAAAATTGTATTTATTGAATTATGCACACAGAACTGGGGCAAAGGCCAGAGGTGTGGAGGAGTAAGAGGCTTCACCAGAGACAGAGCAGGGAGCAGGACAGGCAGGTGGATGAAGCGCACTGCTGAGGGGAGCAGCAGGTGGGTCAGGGGAGGCCCTCTGCGCCCTGGGGGTCACCTCCACAGGCCTCTGGCCTGTACCCCAGTTCTGCATGCATAAAAAAATAAATCTTTTTTTTTTTTTTTCAAAGAAGTCTTCCTAGAAGGTTTCTTCGGTGGGTCAGCGAGGGCCCATCCAGCCTCACCCTTCCGCATACCTGCTGAAGGATGGTCTGTAGGGACAGTCCCTGCAACTCTTTGCAGACACTGCTCAGCAGAGAGGGAGATTCTAGAACACTTGTCGCTTTGTCTTTGAGGCAGAACCTGGAGGAGGCCGGAGGGGCTGTCACTTAGCCCTGAGGGTGAGGATGGGGCTCCCTGCCAGGCCTGTGGGTCACCGAGTCAGCCACAGCTCCTGCTGCGCCAACAGCGAGCGAGGGAGAAGCCCACTTGCAGCAGCAACTTTTTGCAGAAAGATTTAAAGGCTGCGGGGAGTTTCCAGAAAAGCAGAAAATAGCGTCCCCAGTTGGGGTCTCTGAGCCGGCGGGCGGCACGCCCTGGCCCTGGGCCCGGGAGCTCACAAACCCTAGCAGAGGGGCAGGAACAGAAGTCCCAGCTCTGCAGAGTCCTCCTTTTCTGATTTTCAAGTCTTAGGACTTCGGGAAGAGGATGAGCGCACCTCAGCTCGTCGGTTAGGCTGTTTTCACTGCTCCCGCGCTGGCTTTCTGGCCTGCAGTGCATCGTGCCTTGATGACGGTGACAGTCCCCGCGCCCAGTGACTGGCTTGTGCGAGGGGCCTTTTCTTTTCAAGAAAGCCCCTCATCTAGCATCTCACTTTAACAACCCCGTCATCCTCTCGAGGCCTCTCCAGGGGACTGGAGCCCACACCTGTGAGCTCTTGGAGGCCCAGAGCCTGAGGGTGGGGGCAGCCCAGGTCTCCTTTGACAGGGCAGACTCCCTGGAATTCTCAACTGCGGGGTGGAAATTTCCAGTGGATCGATGGCAGCTTAACAAGCTGAGACTTATCTTTGGACACCCTGAGGTCCTTTAGGTAAGGTGTGTGTGACGCCCTTTTCCACTTACTAGGAGATGTGTCTGCTCAGGGGCCATTAGCATGCCAGGCTGGCCGTGTGGAGCCCGTGGGGACAGCACCGTCAAGGCCCCAGGGCTGGGGTGGGGTCAGGCAGGGCTGTGCCCTGGGCGACACGTGCAGACTGCTGCCAGAGTAGCACCAAGCTGGTGCCCACTGAGCAGATTCAGGCCAGGCCCTGGCTCCGGGGCCCACGCGGCCTGTAAAGAGAAGTCAAGTAAGCAGGTTCAATCAGGAGAGGAGTTGCTGGAGCGAGGATTCTGTAAGAGCCCGTTAAAAGGCAGGTAAGTGTAGGCGGGTGGGAGGAGAGTGAGCAGGAACCGTGAGAGCAGATAAGGCTGCACCGGCTTTGTGCTCAGAAGCCAGAGAGGAGGCTGTCGGGGTCCTGAGGACAGAGCACGTTTCTCCTGGGCCTGGAGGAGGGGCAAGCTGCCAGACTCGGTGGGGAAGTAGAACTGGCTCGCAAGCCTGTGCACAAACGTGCAGCTCAGGTGCGTGGAAGTCAGGTGCGCATGAGCTCGAGGCCTCGTTTTGGGACATCTTGGCCTGGGGGAAGTCAGAGGACCGGGAGCTTCTTTGGTGCAGAGCATGCTGGGAGGGGCGAGGTGACGGGGCTGGCAGCTACCTCTGAGTGTGGCCGGGGGTCGTCAGTGGCCTCTGCCACTGCTGAGTTGCAACCTAGCCATCAGCTGGGCTTAGAAGTCTTCCTAGGGCCCTCCCTGACGGGCAACGGGTCAAAGCGCAGCACGGTGAAGCTAGTCATAGCCGCTTCGGCACGAGTTTGATCCCCGGCTGGGGAGGGGCCCACATGGTGCACCAGACCTCTCCTGTCTCCCTGCTGCTCCCCTCAGCAGTGTGCTTTGTCAATCTGCCTGTTCTGCTCCCCACTCTGTCTCTGGTGAAGCCTCTCGCCGCCCCTGCGCCTCTGGCCTTTACCCCAGTTCTGCATGGATAAAAAAATAAATCTTTGGGCCCTCCCTGGTGGCGCAGCGGGTTAAAGCACAGCACTGAGAATCTGAAGCCACTTCCGCATGAGTTCGATTCCCGCCTGCCGCCTGCCCGGAGGAGACCACATGGCGAGCCAGACCTCTCCTGGCCCGCCCGCTGCTCCCCTCAGCAGTGTATTTCATAGATCTGCCTGTTCTACTCCCCACTCTGTCTCTGGTGAAGCCTCTCACTGCCCCTGAGCCTCTGGCCTGTACCCCAGTTCTGTATGCATAAATAAATCTTTAAAAAAAAAAAATAAATCTTTTTCTTTTTTTTCCAAAGCAGTCTTTCTAGAAGGTTTCTTCGGTGGGTCAGCGAGGGCCCATCCAGCCTCTGTCCTGGTTCCCCATCTGACAGGGCAGCCCCCATGGGTGCAGATGGAGGACCAGGCAGTCTTGGCCACAGTCTGGGGTTCTGTTAAGTTACAGCAGAGGTGGCCACAGCTTTGGCCAGGCTGTCCTCAGTGCCCAAAGAGCACTGCCAAGTGCCCCCCACGGACGTGGGCAGAAGCCCCAGCCCCTGCACTCCTCAGCCAGGACGCTGGGTCCCGCCCCCAGCCCTGGTGTTCCAGGTAGAGCCCAGGAACAATGAGTCACTCCTCCGCGCCCTACTAGCACCTCAAAGGACAGCTACGGAAAAAAACACCCTTCCTGCTCCACTCCCTCTCCCCAGCCATTAGAGCTTGGGGAAGGTGGAAAATCCCTGAAGTTTCTTGGACAAGCTGTTATTATATTTCTTTTGTCAATTGCCCGTCTGCAGAGCACTTTAAAATAATAATGAAGACAGCGATCACTACTTGCCCTGGCAGAGGGCATTTGCTTTCTGGGCGCTTCTGAACGCCTGTTATCTCATTTTAAAGTCATATGCTCCTCGGCAAAGACAGGGGTTTATGGAGGGAGGGAGCAGGCAGTTCTGGAACTTTCCTCCGTCCCAGCCACTGTTTTCTCTTCATCTGCACAGCCCCCTGGTCTCCTGGAAACTTGGACGCTTGACATCAGGAGCTTAGCGTGTAGGATGAAAAAACAGGTTCAAAGTGATTAGGTGCGTTTGCTTCCTTCAGATTTTCCTTTCCTCTTTTTTCTTGGCAAACAGGCAGATCTACACGAATCGATACTAAATAAAAGCCACTTGCCCACGCAACCCTGTGGTTCTACCCTGGAGCTGGGTCACATCTGAAGAAGCACTCACGAAAACAAGAAGTAAATAATTGATGAGCAGAAATGCGCCCTGAACTTGAATTTTTTGAAGGGCATAGAACAGGCTTGGGTAATAATTCCCCCTTGTTCTTCTGGTCACTCCTCTTCTGCTCCCGAAGTCCATCCCCGCTGCCCGCATTCTGCGGGACTCCTCATTTGTGAACCCCCAAACCTCCGCTCTCACCTGCCGTCGTCATTCGGATGTTTTTTATATTGGTTGCAAGAGGCCTCTCAGGCTTAGATTTACGCCCTGGGGCAAAGTCGTTAATGTCCTTTTTCTAGTAATGACAACTACATCGTAATTGTCACCCTGATGACAGTAATTGGGAGACGCTTTAATGTTAAAGTTGTCAAGCACCCCCTGACCACCATCTTACTTAGGAAACAATAATTCAAACAGTGCTTAAAAGGACACAGCACGGTCCTCTCTGGTGGCTCAACAGGTTCAAGCGCAGCACTGTGAAGCCATCCAGAGCCGCTGCAGCATGAGTTCAACCCCCCGCCGGGGAGTGACCCCCAGGGCACGGCAGACCCGTCCTGCCTCCCCGCTGCGCCCCTCAGCAGTGTGTTTCAGTCCACCTGTCTGTTCTGCTCTCCACTGCCTCTCGTGAAATCTCTCACCCTTGCACCTCTGGCCTGTACCCCCGTTCTTTCTTTTTTTTTAGCTTTTGTTACCTTTTATCTTTATTGTCTTTTTTTTTTTTTTTACATCATTTTGTACATTTTTTCCCCCATCTCAGTTGTAATCCCTGCGGGTTTCCCATCACCAAGTCACCCGTGTGCCCCCCCCCAAAACCCCTGCATTCCCCCCCCCCCCCACGTTTTTGATCCCATTCACCACTCCACCCCCGCAAAATGTCTCTGGTCTATGGTTGTTCATTATTTTTGTTATTTTCTCGCCTGGTCCATTATACTCCTGCTAGGAGTGAAACCATCCGGTATTTTTCTTTCTCTTTCTGGCTTATCTCACTAAGCATGATCTTTTCCAGCTCCATCCAAGTTGCTGCAAAAGACATGTGTTTCTCTTTTTTGGTTGCTGAGTAATATTCCATTGTGTATATGTACCACATCTTTTTTATCCAGTCATCTACTTTTGGGCATTTGGGCTGCTTCCATGTTTTTCCAATTGTAAATAAAGCAGCAATAAACATGGGTGTACCCCCGTTCTTGTGCGCATAAATAAATAGACTTTTTTTTAGAACTTAACAAGAGGGTGCTAATGGACAGTGTGAAGGTGAGGGACAGGTCACCGTCTATGGGTTCCCACCCGTGTGCTCTCAAGTTCAAGGCCACCAGGTTCAAGGTGCAATTGCAATAAGATTTCGTACAGGATGTTGGGGAAAAGAACGCGATTCTAAGGCAGCAAAAGGCTGTCTGTCTCAGCCAAAATAGTGTCCAAGGTGCTCACAAGCCCAAAGCAAATCTCACTTGTGCAAGGTGGTGGGTCCCGTCAGGAAGGGCCTGGATTTGACGGTGCCCACTAAGCAGTGGACAAGGACCCAGCTCGTGGTGGCAGCAGGACGTGTCACCACAGCAGCCCACGGCAACAGCCTGAAGTGCAGGCTGGACAGCCCAAGTGCCAGACTGGACAGTGCTGGACTCAACAGTGCTGGGAGGCAGTGCTGGATGATCGGAGCAGTGGGCATCTCTCAAAGATGGCCGGACACTGTCAGCCGTGCTGGTCAGCTCTGGTCAGCGGCGCCTGTCCCCACGGGTCACCAGAAAGCTGTGTCAGAGACACCGCTGTTGGGCGCTCTGTGAGCCATTAGCGTAAGCCAGTAGCCAGCCACTCTGAGCGGCTGCACGAGGCGAGGTGCTCTCGTGGGCTGAGTCAGGGCAGGGGCTTGGTCTGCTGCGTCTGGGGGGTCTGAGTCCCTGGCGGTCGGGAGCCCCCCGAGGCCAGCTGCTGAATGCATCAAGCTGGTTATAGATTTGCTCTGCTTACATTCTCTTCGGGGGCCCCACCCTGGACCCCTGAACGGGTCATTCTTTAGCACTAAGCAGCTGGTTGGTGCCAGTTAAGCACCAACCGAACGTGCTCCGTTTTCTCTCCACACCGTGACGCACGTCCTCGCTGGCAGGAGTGGGGGACCCGCTCCTGCCTCTCCGTGTGTGGTCCCCGTGCCGAGGTCAAAGGGACAAGCCAGCGGTCTGCACGGACTTGACCTGCCTGAGGCGGGAAGGCCAGGGGGCCCTTACCTGGCCCCCCTCAGGGGTGGCTTAACAGAGTGGGCCCTGCTGGCCCGGCCCTCTGTGGCCTCCCGGTCCCAGCTGGGGCCCAGAAACTTGGCTGCTAGGCCTGTGGGCTGCAGGTGCGGGAACCGGCCCCTCCCCCACCCACCTCCCTCCAACCCCCGCCCCCGGCTTTGCCACCTGCTGCCACAGCAACCTGGGCGCCCCACAGGTAGTGTTTGGGGGCCTGCTGCCCACACGCGGTGGGGTGAGGCGCCTGCCTGGCGCTGCTGGTG